CCATGGTAATAAGCACATATCTCTGTGTGCAGGCTAAACTGTGCTTATTTAAACAACAGTAATTGCCACATTTGATTTATAAAGAGATGAGTGGGTTTCTGCATGAAGTTCCACCGTGGGCTGGAAATGGGCTCTCCTCACCCACACATGCATCTGGAATTTGATCATCGACCTTTAGGAGAAAGCCACAAAACCTGTTCTGCTTTGGAGAGTATATTGCAGGGCAAAGGAAAACGTTGCAGACTTGAGATTTGGGTGGAATCCATTTATTCCACATGTGCAAAGACTGGATGAGGAATTGGAGGATCTGCAATGACCAAACTGAAACCTCTCCATGTGTTATACACATAAACCACTCTTGATTGAAATCCTGTAAATCTTTTCCTTATATAATATGTTTCCTTGTCTGGTACAGCTAGATTTGAATTTATGCTGCTCTTTTTTTCTTTCCATCATGTTCAAAACTATCATAAACAGTCTGTAAACTCTGTATCACAAATGGCTTTCTAATAATAAAAAAGGTATTTTCAGAAGGAAGATCAATTCCTCATGGCTAAGTTGAAAAAGGGACACTGTCACACATTCTAAAGTTAAAAAAAAAAAGATCGATATGACTTAAAATTATTATAATACGGTAAAAATATATTAAGTACAGGGAGGAATGTTCTACAGACTCTAATAAGGACCTAAATTTCTGGCAAGAAAAGAAATACTTTCCCCTAAAGAAGATAAATCTCATGCAGCATCCCTGATGGAGGTACTTTCTATGCTTTTGAGAACAAATATGTATTTTAACAAAACTGTTTAGGTTTACAGAAACCACAAATCACAGACCAAATACATGTTTTCTCCACTAATGTAGTTACTTTTTTCTTCAGTGCAGTGCAGTACAATTCCATCAGTTGTCTGAAGAAAGCGTAGCCCCTCTGCACTAGACACCCCTGCAAAATCCGAGTCCTGTTTGCTTACACCTGGTGATAGTATTCCTCACCAAAATAAATGTCTACGCTTCAGGGAAGCAAATGCTTCTGGGATGCTCCTTCAGGAAACATCTGTGTCCATACACCTCAGTGAGGATGCTCTCTGAGAAAGAAATCTGTCACCATGCTCTTGATTTATTAGTATTTGATGTTGCGTTGTCCAATAACCCAACAAGTTTGTGCTCATCTCTGAAGATGTGTATAGGTTTTGTTTGCAATTTACACTGATTAAAGCAGCATTTCCAAAACACTCCAGTGAGTATTTCTGTAGCTAATGTAAAAAACACTGGACTTTGATCTGTGGTGTTTATAAAAGCTAGTTTATAATCAGGATATCCTATCTATTTTTATAAGGCAAAATAGTACATTTATGAAATCAGGACTTGTAAGGAAATAAATCTCGAATCTTAATTTGAAATGGAAAGGCATAAAATCATTTTGTTCTTTGTAACGTGAAGAAAGCTTGTTTCCAATTCCCCAAATATTTTAACAAGCAATATTCTGTATATACAAGCTTTTCAATATACGTGCACTAGTTACTAAACATATTTGAGCTCTTCCCCTGCTCCCAGCACACTCATGCACACACACACATATGTGATATTCATGTTAACAATAAATAAATTTTATTGAAGGGAAGAAACCAGTGCTTTCTTAGTCCATTTCTCCTGGAGGTTGCCTCAGGTTTAGTTTTTATCTTAAATATTGAAGGGATTTTATGGATTTACCAAACTACTATAATTTTTATTTCTTAATCTTTCTTCTGATAGATCCAACCCAGATCAGATCTTATCATTCTCTGTTTCAGTTCACTGCCACCATATGTAAGTGTTGTCAAGGCTATAATACATGAAGTATCCGGCTCCAGGGTTGGTTTCACTGTGGTTTTGGAATAAAGAGTTTATGATATGCTGTATCCTTCCTCTGAAATCAGTCTGTTCAGTGGATAAAGTTACCAAGGCACAGGTTGGATCTTCAAAGACACATAGGCATCCAAACTGAATCTAAGGATATTCCGCTGATTTGAAGCAAGGCATCTGTCTGATACCCTTCAAAGGTGGAAGGGCTCTTCAGGACATAGACAGAGACTGTTTAAACAGCCATTTGATCAACCCCAGGCAATCTCATTGCTGCAAATCCCCTAGCCTTGTGGTGAACCCACTAAGTCTTATATACGCAAAATGTGCACTCTTTCAGGTGAGACTTAACTGAGGCAGAGGCGTCCCCAGATTTCTCTAGCTTAGGCTGTGAAACTGAGAGACCTGATGGATATTTTGCTTGAGAATCTGAGATGTAAATGCATGCACATGTGCTCTGAGCTTGCTGTACAGATGGTCTGCAGACATGTGCCTCTGACAGGGACATCTGATGCTCCTGGGATGCACCAGACCAGCTGAGCAGGAACAAGGCAGCTGAGCAGCATGTAGGCAACAGTGCTGATAGTGTCCAGAAGCACCACAGTTTTTGTCTCTTTCCTATGAACGTATGGCCGCTAAAGCTGCCCCAAAGCATCAGATCTGCCATGGTGCTGTGTGGTGACAAGAGTACGTGCCTGCAGCACAGTTTATTTGCTACAGCACAGTAGCCATGACTGAGAAGTCCAAAGGGATGCCAGTGTTTTTGCACTGGATCTTCAGCTAAATCTGCTGTACATCAGAAAGTCAGCCAAACACAGAGAAATCCTCAGAACTAACTTAAATCTCAAAGAAAGGGGGAAAAAAAAGAAAAAAGATAATGTCTGGGAAGCTCAGCTATAGGCTATTTCGACTCCCACATCCAGAGGAATATCACCTTGCCCTGCTCCCCTGGGGCTCTGACTATATTACTTGGGCTCACCCTTTCTCACAGAATAATGCTCTTTAACCACTTCAGATGTTTGTTCTCAGTGGCAGATTGAGGGCAAAATCTGAGGTGGCAGAACAGTGTCTTCAGCTCTTCATTAAGAAAATGTATCAACATTTAAATTGTTGAGTTATGAGGATGTACACTGGGCACATTTGGCATATCAAACAGGCAAGAAAAAGACAGGGTTGGCTGAAGGTTCCCAAAGATTTGCTATTAGTCTAAAGAGGTTTGTTACTGATTTCAGAACAGAGCATAGAGCCCTCGTGCCTGAATGAATGTCTAAAACTGCTATCACTCGATCTGCCCAGGATTAAACAGGATGATGCTTTGGTTTACTGGCATTTACCAGAGTGGGAAAGTGTCTGTCAGGAAAAAAATGACAACACAATTTTCCTGCTACTCGTTTTTTTCCCTAAGCCAGCTCTAGTACTTCTCTGTTCTCACCTCCTCAGTGGGTTCCTACTTTCCTGCATAGCCAGAGTAGCCAGTGCTGCAGTATTTGGAGTCATGTGTATCTTCACTATGTATATGCAAAAGTTATCTGGATCCACACCAAGTTCCTTCCATGCCCTGGATCTGAGGGAAATGCTATGGGGGACAGGTCTGGTCTTCTGGTCATCTGCAGGCTTGTAGATGGAGAGAAGGTATTAAGGGGCAGCACTCTGCTTGGAAGGGTAAATGGACACCCCCAAGTAGAGAAGAACTGAGCAGATATTCAAGCAAAATCTTCCAGCCAACTTCTTCCAGCACATCCCAGGCATAATTTTCCCGTCAGCAAAGCTGAACTTGTACATCATTTCCATGAGATAGAAGGCTTAAGTTTTATCATCATTCATTTTTAAGAGGTCTTAGGTACTTGCTCACAATCATATAGCGTATGCTGACATCTGGTGGCATTCAGTAACCAAATCTTCATTAAACAAATAAGTTTCAGCTTGAAGGAGTTATTCTCATTTTCCTCCAGTTGGATCAGGAAACTGAGGGTTCCTCCCAGACAGTTTCAGGTTGAGGAGTTAGCCTGATGCCCACCTGTGGGACTGGAATTGTTCTAAATCCCTTGAGCGACATTTAAATGGATTTTGTCCACTAGGTAAGGAAGGGAGCATTAGCCACTATTTGCCTTCAAATTCAGTTATGCCAGTGCAAAATAGAACAAATGGAGTCTTGACTTTTCTCATTCTAAAGGTGGACAATCACTACACTAAAAATAAGTGAGGCAAAACTACCAGGAGCATGAACAGGAACTGAAACACTGTAAATTCTTAAATGGCTATACTTTTTATGTAATTTATTTTATCTTTATTTCAAATTGGAGAAATATAAGAAAAATAATGTGTGAAGAGTGAGTGAGATATATCAAAACCCCATTTCATGGCAAGTGAGAATAAATGGCATGGAGTCAACTGTCATGGTTTAAAAGATATCCATGATGTAGCTGTTCCATTAAAATTTGGATTAAAATCATGTTTAAATTTCATTTCCTCCAGTCTCTATACTGCTTTTGATTAGTTTTAAGAGCAGTTGATGGTCTTGTGATTTGAAGATTTTGCATTTTAAATTTTGTGTACATGGTCTGGAATTTTATGTGAAATTATGGGTTTGATCTTTGACCTCTGTTTACTGCAGTCCTGATTTGCCACTAATTTGATAGCAAGCCATAAGAGCCTACTGTAAACAAGCTGCTCACTTTACATAGCTATGTTTGGCTCCTAAATGAACAAGTATGTATGGAGTATACTTTGGGTACCGTAGCCTCCTAAAGAGATAATAAAAAACACATCACTGCTTAGCTCTCCAGGTAACGTTTACATTTGGAGAAAATCAGTTTCATACCTAATAGAGAGAGAAAATGCAATTCTTATCCATCTTAGGTTTGTTTGTTTAAAATTGTTCTTTAAAGTATTTTAGAGCTCAGGCTGTCTCTTTTGAAGTTAGTGGGAACTTTGCCATTTTTTTTGGAAAGGATCAGTATTAAGCCTAAATTGGTAGAGTCTAAAAGGCAAAAATGAAAATATCCAAAGTCTACAAATCTCTCACTGATCCACCATCCAGAAAGGAAAGACAAAAGACTTTTCCAAGGTCTGTAATGTACATCTTGATTCCAGGACTCCTGTTTCTCATACATTTCTAGGCTTTAAGATGGAAAGTAACTTCCAGAGATTGACAGCATATGGAGTAGGACACACTTGTACTGTGGACTTGTAAAAGTTCTGAGGGAAGGGAGATGAAAATTGCTTGTAAGTATCAGTGTACTGTCTGCACAAATCTTACACAATTTGTTCTGTGCTAGTACTACACAATATACACAACCTGTATCTCACACTGAGCAGATTCCCCAGCTCATGGGATCAGTCCTCCAGGTACCACCTTTACTTAACACAGTAAATGATCCAGCAAAAGCCTACCGATGGACACTTAACTTAGAAATATTTCTGCACAATTTTTGTGCTTTTAGCACTAATATGACACTAGCAGCCATATCCTCAAAGCCAAGGTCTTCACTTTCTCTTCTGTTGTCCAGCTCATACCATCCATCCCAGAAGTGAACTTTCCTTTACCAGGACTCTGAACAGTGGAGAGCAGACAGTGGTAGGAACACCAACATACCCTGAAGAAAGGGGTGCTTTCCTATTTGAATGAGAAAGTAACCATAACTTCAACCATTTATGGCTTAAGGAGTGTTCATAACTGACCAAAATCCATTAGACAAGGAACGTGTACTTTCTTTATCTAAAAGTGTGATTCATCTACAGTGACAAGGTGTAAACTCTGAGAAGTGATGGGATATTGGCCAACAAAATTTAATTTCTACAGTGCAACCACAGTGCAGTTCCAGACTGTTCCAGCTGCTATCAAAATTACACCAGAAACAAAAAAGAGCCCAATCGGCACAAATGCAATTAAAAAGAAAGAACTTTTGATGATAAGAACTAAGGCATCTCTTGTATTTGATCCTCTGACTGGCAGTGAGGCAGGTTCTTAGAAGCTTGCTCTTCTGCCATTCTATCTTACAATTTCAGAAGCTGTAGGTACCCACCAACCAAAATATAATCTTAGAAAGGGTGTAGGCTTTGGGCACCTCTCAAACAAGAAAGGCTTTAGACAACCAAGTGCATAGAATGCCTGAAATGAAGAAACCCTAATCTCAGGTCAAGCTATTCATGGAAGAAAGCAGGAGCTTAAGGCAGCTAGAGCTAAGAAACTGCATGCAAAGGACATGGTTTATGTGGTCCCAGTAACAGACAAGCTAGAGTTCAGGAGTGACAAGGATGAAGCACCGTCCTAGATAACCAGGGCCTGACGTCAACAAAGTGTCCGTTCAGTCTACAAAACTTTGTGACTCAACAAACATCATCTTCTGTTAACGCAGACCCATGCTTGGCCAAGGAATATATGATATAAATACAATATCCAAGTAAGGGAAACCATACAATTAAATCCCATAATAGTCTATTGTGTCTCCTTTGCTCAGAAGTAACACAAGCTGATAAGAACTTGATGAGAGCCACCCCTTCTTTCCTTTCAAAATGACTCTCAATAGGATGAGAAGTGTCAAAAATTCCCATCTTATGCATGACTCAATTTAAGCATCCTTGAGATTTTCTAGCAGCACTGCCAACTCAGGCAGCATCTACTCCATCTTCGGCTACACTGAAGACTGGAAACACTGCTCTCCGTCAAAACATCCTACTGATCCCATTTTCCATTTTGCCCCCATGGAACATGTCCTCAGAATGTTCTGAGCATGGGTCTCAAGGGATTTAGTACCTTTACACCCATCACTTCAGTATCACTAGCAGCCTGAAATCCACAATGTACATGTACAGAGACATGTGCACATACTGAATTGGTTTAAATAATGCAGGGTGGTAACTGAGCAGAAATTGTTTCCAAAGTGCTGTTTACTTTCCTATTAGGACTGGCTTAAAACCTAAAGAAAGGTAAAATTAATCTGAGTAACTTTGAGCTCTTACACATGTGAGACAATCTGAGATTTTAATAAATAAAGCATGCCACAAGGGCCCCTGGAGTGCTTAGACAGAGCAGGCATGTCTGGACCCAGTGCAGAACAGTGATCCATCACTGCTAGATCAATTTCCAAAGCAATTCAACAAGGGCTCCACGTAGACAGCACTACAGAAAACCTGTTCCAGTAGCATTCTTATGCATGAGAAAACCACAGTCACACTGTTTTAGGCAGGGAACCAATGGGAATGAAGGAAAACAAGACTATCCTCAAGAGACATTCTGGGCTCTCCACTCCTTCCACTCCCCTTAGACTCTGTTTCAATCTCTTAGCAGTTTGTGAATTTTTGGCAACAGAGGACCATGTTGCATAGGTCACTGCCAGCCTGGTGGAGACTGCTGTGGATTTTGGCCACCAGAGTTAGTTTTGGGCCCCTGCCTGCTGAAATGCCAACCTCTTTTCTCCCTATTTTGAGCTAGAGCAGAGGCGACTACAGGTGATGGAAGATTGGGAGAGTCTTCCTCAGCCCAAGCAATTTTCGTCAACCAGTTAATGCTTTTCCTCCTTGCCCCAGGATCTGCCATCCAACAACTGCAAATTGAGGATGACAAATAAGAACATTAGCCTGGCGTTTCTGCTAAAATGATCCCCCTTGAAGTAGCTGATGTTGACACTTAAATTGTCAGCAGACTTCCAGTTTAGCGCTCCAGTTAGAAGAATGAGTCCATTCACACTTCCCTCTGAGCTATTGTTCCAGCTCTCTCTGGACCAGGCAAATATCACTGCAGCAGTTTACACTCCAGTTCCACTTTAAAGTAGAAGGTTGTTAGGTTTTTTTGCAATCATAATACAAATTGCCTAGAAACTTTTTTCTAAATGTAAGCTTGGACTCCAGAGAATAATTACACAACACTGTAAAAATAGTCTGCAGCGATTTACATAGCTGTGAACTATTGGAGCTGTGTTTGCTATTTTTTCAGTGTACCTACCTACACACACTGCAACTAGCTGCAGTATTTACAGAGGATTCATGGAGCTGTAATCACAGAAACTGGTATTTCCAGTTAGACCAGACACACGAACAAAACATTTCATGTTATAAAGCAAGGTTTCTTATTGTGAGGTGTTATGTCATCATCTAAACTGAAGCACTGCTTTGCCAGTTCTGCCTCTCCCATATCCTAATTCACCTTTGGCTGGATTCAGATCCCATTCCTGTGGGGAATGCAGGAATTATTGATGTAGTGAAGAAGGAAAGTATTGATTTAATTTGGTTTCCTTCCTGTAAGTGTGCTTTCCTTCCATTTTCAAACAGCTTAATCATACAGGGGGGCTGTATCTTCATTTGTTTCTCTACAGTCATCATTGCTGTTGTGATCCATTGGGTATGGCATCTCCTTGCCTTCTGGACCACACTCCCCAGCCTGCTCTCCTGCATGCTGGTTTTTCTCTCTCTAAACCTTCTGTTGATGCTGGGACCACCAGTCCCTCTGCAACTAAGAATCAAGCCCATTTCTTCTGCAAAAGAACAGGAGAAATCTCTTCTGCAGCAGGTGGTACAATCACTGCAGGCTGAGCCTCATCTGTTACAGAAATCGTCACTTTGGACATTTCCAAGCCCAGCTGACCAATATTCCAGTACTTCCACAGTAGAGCATCTTCTGAGCTCTCCAGGTAACAAACAGCTAACATGCCTGGAGCCAGTAGATGCAGTAGCTTAATTTCTGCCTTCTGTACTCCTCTAGAAGGCCCTTTTTGTCCCTTTGTGCAACTCTGCCAAGCTCCTACCTTGCTAGCTGCTAGTCTACCTTTTAAGAAGCTTTTTCAGTTGTCTTCTCCAGGAGAGCTTAAGTGATTGTATTAGAAGTAACAGAATGAATGGATAAAGCCACAGGTTGGAAACAAACCCATTTCCTGAAATCTGTAAAGAATCTATTCAGGATACCTATTCACAGGTAAAGTATACATGACAGAAATAAGAATTTCTGCAAGTGAGTACATGAATATGGAAACAAAACCCATAACCTAGCAGTGAATATTCTGGCCATGAAATTTAGGCGCTGATTTGAAGGAGTTAAATTCCCAGGCTGCCTTTTCAGAGCAGGGTGGGGCACCAGGGAAGCCAGAGAGGGGGAAAAAAGGCACCTGAGAGCTCTGGGAAGGAGCAGCAGCACTTGTAGACCAAGTTCCTTTCCACTCCTGTACTCTTTGATGCAGATCTTCTCCAGCTGAGCATCTGTCAGAGCCCTTGGCTGTGCTGTGCTGCTTTGTGCACCCCTAGGTGTGGGGTGACTTACCAGCACAGCCCTGTCTGCACCAGGAAGCAAGTGCCACGTCCCCTACCCGCCTCGCCTCCAGCCGCCTATCCCTACTGCTGTGTCTGCGCATGGCATGGCCAGGGGGACATGGGCATCCTCCCCGAATCAGAGTGGGCATCCTGGAGCACGTTCTTTGAGGGCACCTTCTCCAGCTCCTGGTACAGCAAACACAAGGTAAGTGCCAGCCCTCAGGCACTAGGAGAGGGGAGCGGGGAAATCATTTCAGCTTCTCCACATTGTTCTCTGTAAAGCACCTTCCAGCACCTTCTTGCTGCCAGTACATGTTCCTTCTGCACCCCCTAAGCAGTGGCAGTGCAGGAGACTGTGCTGTCCTGGTCTGGAGCATCTCTGATGTTGGAGTTTCTGATGTTCTGATGTTCTGATGTCAGTGATGGTCATTGTGGTGTTTGGGCGACTGGAAAACAGAGACTGAAGCAGCCCCCAAGATCTAGCAAGTTGAAGCATCTGCTAACAATAAAAATGAATTGGAGACTGATTAAATCCTTTACTTCTTCCTTTCTTTTTGCCTCATAAAGTAGGAGGCATGGCAGGGTACTCAACATTCTTGTTTTTCACTACGTAAGAAGCAAACCACTTTTTTATGATGCAAAGTATTAGTATAAATTGTGCATAAAATGGCTTGTTGGTAACTGCTCTCCTTTCTCTGTGAGCAGCCCAGTAGCAGGTTGTAACTCAGGGAAGGTCCCCAAAACGTTTCCCTCTGGATTCTGCATGTGCTGCTGGCTGGATATCCAGGTGGCAGGAGGTGTTTCTCAGTTTCAGAGGGAGGAAAACCCCTCTGCTGGGGTCCCTGAGCAGTAGTGCTCCTGCCTGATGCCCAGTGGCAATGCTTCTGGGAACCAGAGCTGGGACCCCCTAAGGAAAGAAGAGTGTGGAGCCAGGAGTTGGTGTGGGTTTGGGAATTAGGGCCCTAGGGCTTGGAGTGTTTGCAGATCTGTTGGGGAATGCAGGGATGCCTGCACATCACAATGGAGTTCTAAATTTGCTTGCAAAGCATCTCAGCCCTGCTCCTGTGTTTCTTAGAGTAGTTGTATGAAAATGGCTGCTTTTTAGAGTCGGCTGTTTTCTTGCTCTGGTTTTCTGTGTTGGTATAGTTGAGGCTTTGGAGCAGACAATGGATAACTCTGGGTCATGAGCTGCCAACAACCTTCATTTTCCCAAGAGTTAGCTTCTTCTGGGCACCCTTGTTTCCACATTTTACATTTTTTGGAAGCATTGCAAACCTTTTCCTCCCTCCACTCCTGGCAAATGGATTGTGGTTGTCTCTGTGGATCAATCATTTCAGGTCTGCAGGCAGAGGTTCTGTCCTTTCCCCTTGGGAACACAAGACCATTTTGTCCTCTTCATTAGGTTTTGAAGAGGAGCTCTTTGTTTTCTGCCTCTGCCAGCTCTCATCTACCTGGAAACATTACAGGAAAGAGGAAGTGGATTGTTTTGGGAGGAGCATTTCTCAGCCCTGTGAGACATGAGGAGTTTAAAGATCCCCCAGACATGAGGGCCTTGGCATGGCTGGTGGCCACAGCTGCCTCATGCCATGTGAGTATCAAGGACATCCACTGAGGCAAGAGGATCTAACATATATGATAGGGAAATGCATGGCAATCAAGTAAGTCCTGAATGACGTTTGTAAACACGAAGCTCTCTGGAAGAAGTTAAAGCGCCTGTGCCCTTACTGATCCTAGATATTGGCACAAAGGTAGCTGGAGATTACGTGTTTGCAAAGGCTGGAAGTGGGACTTGCTGGCATCACATGGATGCAGCTTTCTTGGTGCTGCTCTGGGCCATGCGCTGACAGCCTTCCCTGTCACAGTCTTGTGTTGTGCATCGTGGGTCATGGACGTGTTTAATGATGTAGCAAAATCTGACGGAACACTCATTTACCTGATGTATTTCTTGACAAGCTACCACTTTTGTAATATTTTGAGTCTGTTGGAGTAATGAGCATAGGAAGCCACCACATGTGGAATTTGTCTGCTTAATTTAAAGTGTATGTAATTGCTTCAGTTTAATCCTTTTTTTCATTTCTCTTGGCAAATCTCAAAGGTTGTTTATTTATTTTCAGTGTTGTTGTTTATGGGCAAAACCATTTTGCAGCGTTAGTTGAGGTTGTTAACTATCATATTAATCAAGGTTTAACTTTGTATCAGAGAAAGAGAAAAGAGCTTGGGTAGAAATATTCAATGAAAGCTCAGAAGAAATGCTTCCTCCATAACTCAGTATTTTATGTGACTGTTGTGTATAGTCACTGTGTGTGGTTGTTCAAGTGTGGAAGCTGAGCCTGAGAGGGAAAGTCTTTTCATTTCTGTTTTTTTCCCTTCTTTGCCTGTCTTAATAAGCTTGGGGTTATTACAGGCTGCCCAGACACTCACATCAAGAGGTTGTTTTATTTCATGGGCTGTAATAAGTCATTTCAGCTCTAACCTTGAGGTTTGAAATGTTGACAGCTCCTTCAGACGGACCCGTGGCCTCCTGTCCCATGGCAATATATCAGCATCTGTCACAGGCTCACTATGCAGGTGGTGGCTGTGTGCAGCCAGAAACCCAATCTTCGTGTGCTCTGATCTGCTGGCAGCAGTGGCTGCCATCAGGTGTGGTGAGAAATCCCCAGGATTAAGCACATCGCTGTGAGGTCTTTTCTGTGCCACCTTCTATCATATACATGAAATGTAAAGTGCTACAATTAAGGCTTTAGCTCATTGTTTTGAAGGGGGAAGTCTTCAGCAATTCATCTCACCTCTCATTGCTATGAGCTCGATGCAGCCTCTTCATGTTCTAGCAAGGTGAAAGCATGGTTTGGCCCTAGAGGGAGTTGCCAGAGAAAGGTTGTCTCCTCATATCCCTTGGCTGAGGAAGCACCCCAGAAACATGAGATCCTCTTCTGTGAGAGCTGGCACTTGCACCAGAGAAAGCTGTTGTCACGTGCTGTTGTACAAGCTTCCACCAGAATGTTTAAAGCACTTAAAGAATGAATTTTCCCCTGGAAGGAGCAACCACCAGGTATTATCAGGCTGTTAATGGTGCAAACCCTCCTATTTTTGTTCCATTTTAAGTGTTTTGTAGGGTATTGGTTTTTTTTTCCTCTTCCCAGTCTCTAGTTTCCCTCATGCCACGCTCTGCTCCCTGATAGATTGCAGATGCTCACTGTTTTAGGCTGTTCAGGAAGCCAGTCCCTGAGCACAAAGAGCAGAAACAAGCATGCCCTCGCCCTGCTTTCTGCTGCTGTGCTCATCTGCGAAGGCTATGGTGGAAAGTTTTCCCCTACTCCAGCTCCCTCTTCTAAAACTATTGAAAGCCAACAAGGGTATCAAACTGACTCTACTTCCTCATATCATGCTCAACCTGTTAGGCTTCAGAGTTCAGAGGGTTTCCATTTCCTTCATTACACAAGTGAGTGTGCACGGGAGAAAATGTGTACAGAATTCTCAGTGGAAATGCATGTTCTTCACAGCCCTTGAAGTTATAAAAAGGAGCTGCCTCTGTCTTTTAATCTGTCATGGGGAATCCAAAAGTCAAAACTTATAATTAAAAAAGCTCTGTGAGCACTTGCTGTCAGTGCTGTTACATGCTCTTTTGGTGTGTTGTTCTGTCGGGAATCCAGCAGCAGTTCCACTGCTCTGTCCGCATTTAATTAAGCTCTGCTAGAAAAGAACATGTTGCTTAGGATCACAACTGCAGGGCTGTCAGCTGGGCCAGCTTTTGAGCACAAGCTTTCAGATTCTGCCAAAGCTGCAGCTCTGATCAACACTCTCCAGGTTAGAGAAAGAACAGCTGCTGCATGAGAATTTATTAATTACTCACAGATAAAGGAAATAACTACACAAGAGCCTTACCCTTGTCCTGTCCTCCTTGTGCTCGTACCATAGAAAAATTTGTATTATTGCAGCTCTCAAATTCCTTTTTTCCTCTACTCATTGTAGGAAGAATGAGAGTAAGCCATGGGGCAGTTTATACCTTAATATAGGGAAGGCAGGGCAGCAGGTCTGGAGCAGATGCCATGGATGAGCAAGTAGTCCAAAGACTGGAGGCAGCTTACGGTTTTCTCAGCCAATCTAAGGAATGATCTGCTGATCTGGTTTTCACCAAGCACTGCTGTAGGTCCAGAACTATATGTGTGTAGGCCCAACTAGAGCTCTGCTGAGCGTTGTTTCCTGATTCTCACTGAGTTATTTTTCCCACATCTCAGACTTCTTCCAGTGCTTCCCCTTCCACCCTTGATAGAGTAAAATGAGTTTTTCAGTTTTTCTGAGGATATTAAAGAGCATATAAATTTGATTTCTTTTTCTTTCTTTCTTTCATTTTTTTTTTTTAATTGTTCAGGAGATAGAGTTAACCTGAGGCTTCTTAATCATGCTAATCCGTTTTAATAGATTTGAGAGCATTAATTTGGAATTTTCTAGGCATGAATAACATCTTACCATTAGTCAGAAAGGGGGAGCAGAAGACCAGTGCAAGAGAACTTTACTCACCATTTTACATATCCTGCTTAGTGCATAAATTAGTTTTGGTTTGGACTGCTTCGAAATGGTATTTAACTGAAAGATTTTCATTATAGTGCAGACTCTGTCAGATATCCAGCTCACGCTGATTGCAGAGCTTAAAACAGGCACTGTCCTTCAGGACAGTGATTCAGAGCAGTGGAATCAGATTTATTCTGGAGCAGAATAGGGTGATTGCTTCCCCTTGACATCACCAAGTAGGAAACACCAGGCACAGGACAAGCTTCAATCCCTACCCTGCTTTGTCCTGCCCACCCTGAAGCTCTGTAAATAGTGGGCTCTAAATTAAACTGGCCATGGCTATTATGTTGATTTTGGTGTCCCACAGTCTTGCCTCAGAGTTGCAAGGCGTGGTTGAAGGTCTGGCTGCTCATGTGATCACCAGTCTGCAGGTGAGATTTCATGAAGGTGCTGCATGCTTCTGGGGCATCACTGAAGAGATTGAAGATATCAAATCTGTGCTTCTGCTGCTTCACTTGCTGTAGTGCCTCATTTGGTGAGACAGTTTGGATAAATGGGCAGCAGAATACTCATCTAATTTCTTAAATAGAAGTTGCCCTTCTCATAAAATCCCACCTATGATCACATGGGCACTTACAATTTTGTGATCCAAAGAAGACTTCGTTGTTCTTTGAAGCTAAGATACAATGTTCATCT